CACAGTGTGTGTGTGTGTGTGTGTGTGTGTGTGTGTGTGTGTGTGTATGTGTGTGTTGGGGGGGTGTTAAAAGTCAGGGAAAAGCAGGTTTCGGTAGCCAGTGGATCCATGGAGCTTCTGCAGAGGCAATCAGTCTGTGTTTCCCAGTGGTGGTCTCTAGGTTGAAGAAAGAATCTACTCAGGCTCCTGGAGAGGCAGTGATGCCACCTGCAGCCTGGAAACTTGCTCTACAACCACTGGGCTTAGGCTGGTTGTTGGCGGGAGAAGGGATGGGAACTCGGGAAGAGGGTAGAGAATGGGCAGGCACCTCTCAAGATGAATCCACCCCCACCCTGTAAACTATAAATAATTAAAAACATGTTCAGAATTATTTTAAGCAAGACATTTTTGGAGACTGCAGCACTTGGGTTAAGACTTATGATCTACATTTCTTACAAATACATTCTTTTAGAATGTGTCTTACGGACACAATCGTGTTTTTTGTTTTTGTTTTTTGTTTTTGTTTTCTGGATAGCAGCCCCAAAGCATTCAATCCCAAGCTAGATTAGGTTAGGGGTAGACGCTTCTCCAACCTGTCTGCTTAAGGGGAAACCAGAATACTGTGGAGCCATCGGACAATGCATACTTCTGAAAAAGAAATGGAATGTATTTTTATTGGCAGAGCCAAGATGAAGTATGTCTTGAAATCTGTTTTACAAATAAACTTGCACATAAATTGTCCATTCACTGCTTGGAAATCTTTTTTCGCATTTGAGGAGCTGTCAGAGGTCCCTAATAAACAGTGAGTCTTATTTAGTTTACTGGATATGTAATTCTTCTTTTCTTTGAAAATAATTATTTTTCAAGCAAGTGCAGCAAAAATACAACCAATAAAAATCTGGCTATGACAGCATAAACAACCTTTATAGCAAGCATATACACCGAGTTCCTCTCATAAAAGCAGTTTCTGGTAAGGAAGAGAACATGGAAAATTGGCTGACTTGTCCCCAGATTAAGTTCCCAGTGCTAAGAATTGAGATGGGAAAGTCTGTAGTCCCTGCTTTGTATCCCAGGCTAGTCCTTTGTGATCAGAGTGATAGGCAGAGGGTCTCAGTTGTGAGGGAGAAGGAAGAGGCTGATGGCTTGGTTCAACTCAGTAACCTGTCCACCAACACCATTTGCAGGCCAGAGAAGCTGATAGCCAGAGGGCTGGAATTTCCAGAAGGGCTCCAGAGGGGCAAATGGGAGCCCCTCCATCGTTGAGTTGCCCAACTGTTAACTCCAAGTCAGCTGTCCCACAGGAAGTTCTGTGCCCATGAGTGTCAGGGGTTGGGTCTGAGACAAGGAGGAGAATGCCATTCAGAATGTCACCCCAGGCTCATAGGAAGATGTGTTTGTTCTCCCCCTTCCCTGCTCCGCATTTGGGCTGCATGCCTGGCCCACGCTTAGCTGAGCCCCAGCTCTAATGGGCAGTGTGAGGCCAACAGCCCCTGGACCAGGTAGTCTCCAGGCTTCTCCCGGGGAGGCTCCATGTCAGCAAGTTCTCAGCCAATGTACCAGGGCTCATTTATGCTTTTATAGTAGCTCAGAAGATGTTATCGCAGCTTGAGAACTGAAATTAAAATATGTATCCTTCAGGTGCAAATCTACTGTACTTACAGCTTTACTGTTTCTCTGCAGGGGCTCCATTAATCTTGCACTAGTGAAATTCCTGAGGAAATTAATTCCCTCCAGTTGGGGTTATTCTCAACTGGTCTTTGGGGGCGGAGTAATTGGAATTTAAGCGTCTCTCTTAAAAGAAGGGAAACCTTGGCTGTTTTACTTGAGTAACAACAGTTTTTAATGTTGTGCTTTCTCATTCTTTCCCTCAAGTTCCTCTGTGCTTACCAATAGGGTTTGAGGAGACCCGACCAGGTGGAAGTTGGACTCCCAGTCTTTCTTTATGCACACCAGATATATTTCTCTCCAGGATGATTTGTTTGGGACCATAAGGCACCTGGCATTGTGCCCACTGAGTAATACTTGGCCAGAGGAATGAGCAATGCGTCATTTAAATTCATAGGTAGCTGTGCTCCAATGCCTCACGCCTATAATCCTAGCTACTGAGGAGGCTGAGATCTGAGGATCTGGATGGAAGCCAGCCACAGCAGACAAATCTGAGAGACCTAAGTCCAATTAACCAGAAAAAAAAAAAAAGAAGAACTAGAGGTGTGGCTCCAGTAGAATGCCAGGCTTGAGCAAGAAAACAGAGAATACAAGACTTCGAGTTCAAGCTCTGGTACCAACACATATACACATCCATGGCTAGAATTAGCTTGTCTATTTAGGAAAAGTACATATTGTTGTTATCTAGCAAATAATTACATACAGAAGCTCATACTTGCCCTCTGTAGACATGACGTGGAGCTCTTTTGCTGCAGAAAGCCCAAGCTCTGACGGCTTGCCTTCACCCAGGTCAGGACTCCCAGTTCCTAGGCTCCAGGTTCTAGTCCACATGCTACAGGCCCTTGAATGGCTGTCCAACTCCCTTAGGGGCAAATTTATGGTCCCATCTCAGGCTGCTGGGGGCAGGTGTGAGGCTGGGAGGGCCATTACTCACAAGGCAGGGCTGGTGGCTCTGGTGGGACTCTGAGCCCACTGTGGAATGATGCTTGTACAGGGGTGCAGCAGCATGCCAGTGCCCGGGACCACCCCACACAAACACAGGCCAACATCAGCCCAACCTGTCGTTCTCCTGTGTTTTTGAAATGCTGGGCAGTGAGAGAGCATAAGCGGTCTTGGGTAATAGGCCCAAACCACCAAGGCTGGAAATGCAGGTGTTTCCCTCTGAGCCCTAATGTGCTCTGAGGGAGACGACAGGACTCCCCAGAGCAGCAGTGAGTGATAAGAACTTGAGGTGGTAATGGCGGCGGGGGGGGGGGGGGGGAGAGGGGGTGGGTGTCTAGCCTCTGCCCTACCTGCTGTGTGTCTGGGCAGGTTCCTTTGCTATATCTGGGGTGGGGTGGCATGGTGGTTTTTAGGGATCCTAAGTGAGAAAAACAGACTGTGTAAGCACTCTAGAAGTTGGAAGAGTTCTGTCCACCAGTGTGTGCATACCCAAATCATATCTGTAATTTGGGTGCACCAACTCCCCCAAATCCAACTTTATATTTTATCCTGATGTTGTACACTCTATCCCAAGGATGACTTTTTGCCAAACTGCCATACAATATCATAACTGTACACAATGTACTGTCTTTATCAAATTCCAGCAAATTTGTATTTGTTTACTATCCAGTCTTACATATAAGTATGGGTACACAGCCAAGACAGAAAGTAGTTCCTCCTGTTGAATTTGGAATACTGTAAATTACATTTTTGGTAGCATCTGTTTCTCAAGATGAGTCACACCTGTAATGGGTTCCAAGGGTTGCTTAGAAAAATACAAAGTGAGTCACAAGTCACTATGTAATTTAAAACACCCTAGTAAAGAAAGGTAAAATATTTCAACAGGTAGTATAGAAATCATTAGTGATAGGGTACATTCTCTCTCTCTCTCTCTCTCTTGTCATTCGTGGGGCCTGACCTCTGGGCCTGGGCTGTCCCTCAGCTCTTCAGCTCAAGGCTAGTGCCCTACCCCTTGAGCCACAGCGCCACTCCTGGCTTTTTTTTTTTTCTGCTTATGTGGTGCTGAGGAATTGAACCCAGGGCCTCATGCATGCAAGGCAAGCGCTCTACCACTGAGCCACCTTCCCAGCCCTCTTTTTGTTGTTGTTGGTCGTAGGCCTGAACTCTGGGCCTGGGCGCAGTCCCTGAGCTTTTTTTCGCTCATGGCTAGAGCTCTATCACTGGGCCACAGCTCTACTTCCAGCTTTTTGGTGGCTCAGGGGAGGTGAGAGTCTCAAAGACATTCCTTCCCGGCTGGCATTGCAGAGCAATCCTCAGATCTCAGCCTCCTGAGTAGCTAGGATTATAGGCGTGAGCCACTGATGCCCAGCTGCACGTTGCTAGTGTTCACTCAGCCAGCCAGCCAGCCACAGACAGGCAGCCATAGACAGCCACAGAGAGACAGCCACAGCCACAGACAGACATATAGCCACAGACAGCCAGTCAGCCACAGACAGACACAGCCAGCCAGCCAGTCATAGACACACACACACACAGAACACATACACAGCCAGCCAGACACACACACAGAGCATACACACACACAGACACAGCTAGCCAGCCACAGCCACACATACACAGAGCACACACAGACACACAGACCACCCATACAGAAGACACACACACAGACAGCTAGCCACAGACACACACACTCAGAGCACACAGACACAGACACACACACACAGAGCACACAGACACACACACAGACACAGAGCACACAGAGCACAGACACAGACACACACACACAGAGCACACAGACACACACACAGACACACACAGAGCACACACACAGACACACAGACCACCCACACAGAAAACACACACACAGAGCCAGCTAGCCACAGACACACATACACAGAGCACACACAGACACACAGACAGACAAACAGAAAACACACACACAGAGCTAGCTAGCCACAGACACACACAGAGCACACAGACACAGACACACACACACACACACAGAGCACACAGACACAGACACACACACAGACACACACAGACACACACACACAGAGCCAGCTAGCCACAGACACACACACAGAGCATACAGACACAGACATACAGACACAGACACACACAGACACACACAGAGCACACAGACACAGAGCACACAGACACAGACACTGACATACAGACACAGACACACACAGACACAGACACAGACACACAGACACACACACGCACTCACACACCTGCAGCCCGCCGCTGGAGGCCAGGCCCGCAGCCCCCAGCTCCCGCGGGCGCCGCCTTCGGGATTCCAAGTCACTGCAGCCGCCCGCGTGGGCGGGGCCGGAGGCGGGGGCGGGGCGGGGCCGGGCCGGGCCGGGGCGGGGCCTCCGCGCGCCGCGGCCTCGCGCGGGCCCGCCCCATCGAGCGGCCGGCGTTCGGCTGCTCCGGCCTGGTTGCGGCAGCATGGCGGCGGGGGCGGCTGAGGCGGCTTCGGCCCTCGTGGAGGTCGGCTCGGCCGGGCAGTTCGAGGAGCTGCTGGGCCTCAAAGCCAAGTAAGCCGGGCGGCGGCGACAGGCGGGGAAAGAAGCGGGCCGGGAGTCCGGCCGGGGCGGCGCGCGGGCGGCAGGCGGGCCCGGGCCTCGGCGGCCGGCCCGGGGCGTTGGCGGGGGCGGCCCGGGCCCGGCGGGCGGGCGGGCGGGCGGGAGCCCGGGGCCCCGGAGCCGGCCGGGAGACGGGACGCTGGTCGCTGACTCGGCCGCCGGGACCCCGCCGAGTGGGCCGCGCCTCCGGAAGCGGCGCCGGCCCCGCCGCCCCGGCTCGCGGCCTCGGAACCGGGGGCCGCCCGCGGCCAGAGGGGCCCGGAGGACGTCCCGGGGTCGCCGACGCCCCAAGTGCCCCGGTGGGCCCGGCCCGCGCGGTTCTGGGCGCCTGGGTCCTCGCGCGGGGCCGGGCCCCGGGCCGAACCCCCCGACCCCCCCGTCCCGGGCCCCGGGCCGCTCCCCTCCCCGGGCCCCGGGCCGCTCCCCTCCCCGGGCCCCGGGCCGCAAACCCCCCCCCCCCCCCCGGCTCTCGGGCCGCTCCCCTCCCCGGGCCCCGGGCCGCTCCCCTCCCCGGGCCCCGGGCCGCAACCCCCCCCCCCCCCCGGCTCTCGGGCCGCTCCCCTCCCCGGGCCCCGGGCCGCAACCCCCCCCCCCCGGCTCTCGGGCCGCTCCCCTCCCCGGGCCCCGGGCCGCAACCCCCCCCCCCCGGCTCTCGGGCCGCTCCCCTCCCCGGGCCCCGGGCCGCAACCCCCCCCCCCCGGCTCTCGGGCCGCTCCCCTCCCCGGGCCCCGGGCCGCAACCCCCCCCCCCCGGCTCTCGGGCCGCTCCCCTCCCCGGGCCCCGGGCCGCAACCCCCCCCCCCCCCCGGCTCTCGGGCCGCTCCCCTCCCCGGGCCCCGGGCCGCTCCCCTCCCCGGGCCCCGGGCCGCAACCCCCCCCCCCCCCCCGGCTCTCGGGCCGCTCCCCTCCCCGGGCCGCAACCCCCCCTCCGGCTCTCGGGCCGCTCTCTACCCCGGGCCCCGGGGCGCCCCCCCCCCCTCGATGCCGGCTCCCTCCACTCCCCCGTGGTCCCCGCCTCCGGTGGCCGCCGCCCCGGTCTGTCGGCCGCGCCGGGTGGAGACGGGGAGCGTGCACGGAAACAGCCCGGGGCCGGGGCGCGGCCGGGCGGCCGAGGCCCGAGCTCAGCTCCCGCGTTCGGCCGCCAGACGCGACCGGGCCGGCCTAGCAGGCCAGCCGCGGCGTTGCGGTGGGGAGCGGCCCCGCGGGGCCCGGGCGGGTGCCCTTCGTGGCACCGTGGGAAGACTTCCGTTGAGTATTTCAAGCACTTCCTGGCCTTTGTTGTGGTTGGCCTTGAACTCGGGGCCTTGGCGCTGCCCCTGACGTGCTCAAGACCACCGCCTGGACGCCGGCCTGCAGCCGGGCCGAGAGGCAGGCCCGCGGGTCCCGGGCCTCCAGGGCCCAGGCTGGGAAGTGCTGGCTTGGCTGGTTAAGCGGGTGGAACGCGGGACAGACACGCCCGCGGTTCCACAGTGGGTATTAACGCCTGCTGTGGGCGAGTCCGGAGCTTCTGCACGTCGAGTACCCGTAAGGAGCAAATGGTAGTGCAGTGTAGTACAACAAGCGCTAATAATTGACTGAAGAACCGAGTTACCTTGCTTCACCCAACCTGATCTTCCTATGAATGTTTTCCTCAAACAATGCCTGGGCATATTGGGGTGCCTACTAAAAAGGGGAGGTTACTATTGGAAATAACCTGGGAGAGTGTGACATCATTGTTTATTTCAGATATGCACCTTATGATTTCGGGCATTAAATACTAAACCAACAAATGGGTGAGCATCTCAATAGGAGGAGACTGCTAGATGATTGTACTTCAGTTCACATTAAAGTCATGTTTTGATGATGTCACTTCTGCCAGCATCCCAGGGTGTTATTGTTGTGTGTAGATGTGGGAGTTCAGAGAAGTTACATTGCTCTTCAAAGCCATGTTAGTGACAGTGGAGCATAAACGGATTTGAGCACTGTGCATATATTTCCCTTTTTGCATTTACAGCTGAATTCCTGCTGTTACAATGTTTGATAGTGGTTTAATTTTTTTTTTAATGCTGAAGATTGAACTCAGGGCCTCACATATGCTAGGCCAGCACTGAGCTATTTTCCCCAGTATACCTATTTCAGTAATCAAAAACAAAACAACAGCAAAAAAAAAAAAAACACAAAAAAAAATGAGCACTTTGCTGTGGTGTTAAAATTTCTTTGCAAATTTTATTTTTCAATGTTTTTATAATACTTTGGTACAACAAACAGTTGTTGGCCATTGGATTTTACAGTTTGGCACATCTATGAATCTGCCTTACTTAGGATAGATGTCTGCATATGGCTCTACAAGCTCTTTTGGTATGGGTGTGGCCCTGATGTGAATCTTCAGTATCTTCCACGGCAAAGAAACACTTTGATGTTCTGGGGCCCCTTCCTCTTGCCTCCTTTTCCCTCTTTCTTCTTTTTCTTCCCTCTTTTCTTTTTGGTGGTACTGGGGTTTGAACTTTCTTGGTAGGCATGCATTTCTACAACTTTAACCACTACCCCAGGCTTTCTTTTTTTTTTTCTTTATTTTTCTGTAGTGAGTTCTCTCCCTCTCCCCTTCCTCTCCCCTTCCTCCCTTCTTCCTCGCTTCTTCCCTCCCTCTATCCTCCCCCCCTCCCCCCCAGGCCAGAACTCTTCTTGCGGACTCTTTAGCTGTAATGACTAGCTCATACCAACACAGGCAGCTTTATTGGTTGACATGGGTTCTCAATAACTTTTTGCCTCCAACCTTGATTCTCTCCATCTCTATCTCTATAGGCATGAGCCACCATACCTAGCCTTCACCATCCTTTTGATTATTAAATAAGATTTTAAAAGTTTGTCAGAGTTGATGAAAAGTTATATTCTAGTTTAAAAATACTACAATGGTGGGCTGGGAAGGTGGCTCAGTGGTAGAGCGCTTGCCTTGCATGCCTGAGGCCCTGGGTTCCATTCCTCAGCACCACATAAGCAAAAAGAAAAAAGCCGGAAGTGGCGCTGTGGCTCAAGTGTTAGAGCGCTAGCCTTGAGCTGAAGAGCTGAGGGACAGTGCCCAGGCCCAGAGTTCAGGCCCCACGACCGGACCCCCCCCCCCCAAAAAAAAAATACTACAACAATAAAATGAATGTTTCCTGTCAAATGTGATATATTTGAATAAGGAGGTTGAGCCCCAAATCTTTAGTCTCTTTCTTCAACCACTGATCTGCTTGCTTGCTTGTTTTCTTCCCTCCCTCCCTCCCTCCCTCCCTCCCTCCCTCCCTCCCTCCCTCCCTCCCTCCCTTCCTTCCTTTCATCCTGGGGCTTGAGTGCAGGGCCTGGGTACTGTCCCTGACCTTCTTTTGCTCAAGGCTAGTGCTCTACCACTTTGAGCCACAGCACCACTTCCAGCTTTTTCTGTTTATGTGGTACTGAGGAATCGAACCTGGGCTTCATGAATGCTAGGCAAGCACTCTACTGCTAAGCCACATTCCCAGCCCTCTTTATTTTCTTTGTTGGTCATGAGGCCTTTTGGTCGGGGCCTAGGCACTGTCCCTGAGCTCTTTCACTCAAGGCTAGCCCGCTACAACTTTGAGCAACAGCTCCATTTCCAGTTTTTGGGTGGCTAATTGGAGATAAGGTTCTCATGGGCTTTCCTGCCAGGCTGGCTTTGAACCATGATCCTCAGATCTCAGCCTCCTGAGTATCTAGGATTACAGGCGTGAGCCACCAGTGCCCGGCCTGATCTGCTTTCTGTCATTATAGTTATCCATGTTTTTGTACTTGATTTATATAGATTGATGTAGTTCCTTGCTTCTTCCATTCTTCCATCCCTTGTCAGTTTCTTTTCTTTGTGAAGGTACTGGGGTTTGAACTCAGGATCTCTGGCTTTTGCTTGGCTTTTTTTGCTTAAGGCTGACAACTCTACCATTTGAGTCTCACCTCTGCTTTTTTTTTGGTCCAGACATGGGGCCTGAACTCTGGGCCTGGGCACTGTCCCTCAGCTCAAGGCTAGTGCTCTACCACTTGAGCCACAGCACCACTTCTGGCTTTTTTTTTTTTCTGCTTATGTGGTGCTGAGGAATTGAACCCAGGGCCTCGAGCATGCAAAACAAGCACTTTACCACTGAGCCACCTTCCCAGCCCTCACCTCTGCTTTTGACTTTTTTGCTGGTTAATTGGAGATAATGGGACTTCTCTGCCTGGGCTAGATTCAAATTGCAATCCTCAGTTCTCAGCCTCATGAGTAGCTAAGATTATACATATGAGCCCCTAGTGATGACTCCTCCAGGAATGGGATTTGAACTCAGAGTTGCTTCCTTTGTTTTCTTGGCTGGTGCTCTACCACTTGGGCCACTATTTGAGCTTGGGTTTTGCTGTGGTTTTGGAGGTGGAGTCTCATGGACTTTTCTGCCCAGGTTGGCTTACAACTGCAATCCTCTGGATCTTAGCCTCCTGAATGGCTAAGATCACAGATGTGATTCACCTGTACTGTCTGGCCAACAGTGTGTTTTAAGGTCTCACTTCTTATGATTCACTTAGTTTTTCTAAAGCTTGAATCAGTTTTTATTTCAAGGGAGCTTTGTCACAGCTTTTATACTTGGATTCGTTTATTTCCACTTGAAATGTGGACATAGTGGAGATAGTTTCAGATTTCTCCACCTACCATCTTGGGATCTGTCTTTTTCAAGCAGTTTTCTTTAGGGTAATTTTTACAATAGTTAGGCTTGCCTGTTGTTAATTTCTAACAGCTCCTCTAAACCTGGAGCCATCCTGTTCTGTTACACTCAAGAGGAGTACAGATCTGTGAAGTAGTCATCACCTTTGGCTGCAGACATGTTCTCTAAATAAGAGCTTCCTCCTGTCCTCCCTTTTTTTTTTTTTTTTTTAATTTTTTTTTTGGGTCCGGTCATGGGCCTGAACTCTGGGCCTGGGCGCTGTCCCTCAGCTCTTCAGCTCAAGGCTAGCGCTCTACCACTTGAGCCACAGTGCCACTTCCGGCTTTTTTCTTTTTGCTTATGTGGTGCTGAGGAATCGAACCCAGGGCCTCAGGCATGCAAGGCAAGTGCTCTACCACTGAGCCACCTTCCCAGCCCCTTGTCCTCCCTTTTTAAAAAGGCCAACTTGATATGGCATATCAACATGAAAATATTAATACTAAGTCAGTGTAGCTAAGATTTTCCTCATGTCTGATGTTAAATGATCAACTTTTCGGTCCTGGAACTAACCTTATTATTGTCAGTGTCCTCATAGCTTTAAACAGATATTATAGCATTCCTTTTTACATGTTCCAAACTAGACAATGTATTCCCAGTTGCAGAAGAGCTTTCTTAGTTCCTCTTGTTTGGCTTCTGTACTTTCACCCAGATTTGTGGGCATGGGATTGGTATGTGTAACATTCCTTACCCAAGGTTTTTGTGAACCTCTGTTTTCCTTCTTGCCATCCTCAGGCCTTGGAGCCTTCTCTGGAGGCTGTGTATTGCTGGGAGGTGGGGCTAGAACCAGCACAGGGTTTACGGTTCAGGCCTGTGTTCTGCTGGCTAGAATTCAGTTCCACAGCCCCAGACAACTACAAAGAAGACTGAAAATTTTGGTCTAGCTAAATGCTGAGGGAAAAAGGAAAGTACTATTTGATGAACACAATAATTTTTCATTATCACTTTCAGAAGGTTCTGGGATCTGGATGCAATTGTAATCCACTGACTGGGGTCCCAGTGGCCCCCACGTGGGTGCCAGGTGGGCCTTCTTTTGGAGCCTTTTCTTTGCCTTTTGTGTGCTCCTAGGTAGCTTTTTCTTCAGATCTGCCTGTGGTCCTGGTCCTCTATTTCTCTTTTTTTCAGTGATGTTTGTCTACTTATTGTTGTCCTGGGGCTTGAACTCTAGGACAGGGCTGAGCCTTTTTTGCTCAAGGCTATAGTTCTACCACTTTGAGCCGCAGCTCCACTTCTGTTTTTCTGATGGTTAATTGGAGATCGTCTCCTTCCTGCCTGGGCTGGCCTTAAACTTCGGTCCTCAGATCTCAGCCTCTTGCGCTCTTCAGTTCAAGGCAGCTCAAGGCCAGCACTCAGCCCTTGAGCCACAGCCCCACTTCCGGTTTTCTAGTGGTTTATTGGAGATAAGAGTCTCTCGGATTTTCCTGCCCGGGCTGACTTTGAACTGTGATCCTCATATCAGCCTCCTGAGTAGCTAGGATTACAGGCCTGAGTCCTGTTCCTGCAAATCCTCGGTTGTCTCTCAGACCTTCAGCCTGCCCACTGCCCTCCTTGCACTGAATCAATAAGCACACGATATCCTTGCATTAAAGTCAATCCCTTGATCCTGCTTTCCTCTATATAGCACCATCTCCTAAAGTAGTTTTCTAGCAGTCTAATGCCTTACTTCAGCTCGGTCTTCTGTGCTGCAGTCTGCATGCTTCTGTTAGAACACTGACATCCAGTCACAATGTTAGTAAACCTTTTGTGCTGCATTTCCTTTTGTGCTGCATTTAGTAGTTCTCTTTTTTTTTTTTTTTTTTTTTTGGGTCCGGTCGTGGGGCCTGGACTCTGGGCCTGGGCGCTGTCCCTCAGCTCTTCAGCTCAAGGCTAGCGCTCTACCACTTGAGCCACAGCACCACTTCCGGCTTTTTTTTTTTTCTTTTCTTTTCTTTTTGCTTATGTGGTGCTGAGGAATCGAACCCAGGGCCTCAGGCATGCAAGGCAAACGCTCTACCACTGAGCCACCTTCCCAGCCCAGTAGTTCTCTTTTCTTGACTTCTTTGACTCTCTGACCTTCCTATACTGCACAGCTGCCCCCCCCCCCCCCCCCTTTCTCCATCTACCTGGCAATGTTGATGGGCTGACACTAGCTTTCTTCTGTCCCTTTGCAGTGGGTTGATTCTTTGATCCCAGATCTCTAGACCAACACGGGCATCTTCCTTGAGCTCCACTCTCACACTTAAGTGCACTGAACTTCCTTCATTTCGGCTTCACAGCTTCTGTCTAGAGATTCAGGCCAGCACCTCCACAGCATTTAAGCCTGAACTGCTAGCTGTCACCAGATCTTACCCTCCCCCCACCTTCCTCTGCTTCACTTTTTCTCTCCTTATTTTCTTGGCTTTTATGGTTTGCCATTTCTTGACCATAGCATTCATTGTCCCTTAGTTCTTTTCTCCAAGTAACATGTCTTTTCTTGAAATTTTTAAAAAGATATTTTGGAGGATGCTTATATTTGATTAAAAACTTGTTGTAGTGAACATTAGTTACAAAGGGAGTGCATTTCCATGCATGTTTGCGATGTATTCTAATCAGTCTCATATCCTCTGTCACTGTCCAATTCTTCCCCCACTTCCTAAAACAATTTCAACAACAGGTTTCTCCCTCTCCTCTCCCCCTCCTCTTAGCCCAACATTTTCCAAGGAAGATTGCATTGCATTGAATTTAGAGTTTTTTAATACCAAGTGAGTTTCAGTTTGATATTAGGTGGACCTAATGATATCTATCTTCTCTGGCAAAGTTTGGTATGAAAATAGTCAGAGGTACATACATCTATATATATATATATATAGAGAGAGAGAGAGAGATTCCTAAGAATTTAGTGAATAACTTACTAGTCTACTATCTGTTTATGCTATAAATATTTAGAAAAACATTTGTAGCATGATATAATAGCTCTCTCTCTCTCTTTTTTTTTTTTTGCTGGTTGTGGGGCCTGAACTCTGGGCCTGGGCACTGTCCCTAAGCTCTACCACTTGAGCCACAGCGCCACTTCCAGCTTTTTTTGCTTATGTGGTGCTGAGGAATTGAACCCAGGGCCTCATGCATGCAAGGCAAGCACTCTACCACTGAGCCACCTTCCTAGCCCATGATATAATATCTCTAAAAAATAGTTCCTGTCTCTCCTTGTTTTCTGCTGGTGGGCTGTCACTGGACTGCAGTGTCCCTTTGTCACCATGCCTTGTTTAAAAGATAATGACATTAATAGTAATAATTAATAGTAATAATGTGGCTATAACTTTGTCACAAGCATTGTTATTCTAGAAATTTAGTTTTCACTGTACTCAAGGCCCTGAAAATATTGTTGATTTACATGTCTCTGAGTTGAGATTGATGGATGTTTAGAAGCACTTTACATGGATTAAATCTTGACTCAAAAAACAGCACTACTCTGAAAATGTATCCAAAAGTCTCAACACCTTGTGTTCTTGTGCCTAATGCAGCAAAATTGTAGTAATACAAAACAGTTTAAGCATTTTCTTTAGTGGTTTTGATTGTAGTAAAATTTACATCTGGATTTTCTTATTCCTAAAGTTTAACATACTTTTTAAAAGGTGGCATTTTATCAATTTACAGGTCCCTCCTCGTGGTCCACTTCTGGGCACCTTGGGCTCCACAATGTGTGCAGATGAATGATGTAATGGCAGAGTTAGCTAAAGAACACTCTCAAGTTTCGTTTGTGAAGGTATTTTCCATGTTATGTCTTTACAAATTTCTGACTTATGCGTTAGACTATATTAAATAAAAAGGGGATGGTATGTAATTTCACATCTTTATAATTGGTGTTGAGATCTGTTACTTTGGCAGTAGATTATTCTTAAGACTTTTTATTGCTCAAGTGTAAAAATCACATGTTTTTGGATAGGAAATATCAGAATGGGCAAAGAACCAAGGTATTTGAGGGCCATAGCAGACTAGATAATTTAGTGTGGATAATTGTGGCTTTATGATAGTTGAAATATTAAGAAGACTTTTTTCATTGAAAAGCTAGATATGGTTTGGCAAATGACTGGAAAGAGAATATATATGCTCCTAGGGACCAGGACAACTGGAGGAAGTTGCTGTCTTAGATTGGGTAAATGCTGACCTGTGGGAGAAATGGAAAATTTCTTTTTAGAATCCAGAAGAGGGGCTGGGAAGGTGGCTCAGTGGTAGAGTGCTTGCCTTGCAATGCATGAGGCTCTGGGTTTGATTCCTCTGCACCACATAAGCAGAAAAAGCTGGAGGTGGTGCTGTGGCTCAGTGGTAGAGTGCTAGCCTTGAGAGCTGAGGGACAGCGCCCAGGCCCAGAGTTCAGGCTCCACAACCAACTGACAAAAAAAAAAGAAAGAAAAAGAAAAATAGAATCCAGAAGAAAAGGGAAGCCCTACGGTCTCCTGCTTTTTATTTTTCCTTTGGTTTTGGGGATTGATTGAAGTGAGCATTCCCTCAGCCTTCCTTTGTTTTTCAGTTCCTACACTCCTGGCATCTCTGTCGTGGTTGTGACATTGTTTTTTTTGTTTGTTTGTTTTTTTGTTTTTCAAATTCTTTATTGTGATTAAGTGATTACATAATTTCCCGAATTTCACAGTATGGTGGGATAGTGATGCTTAGTTAAAGTCACAAACACATTCCAACTTTCATGGGGCAGATTGTCTATCATGGTCTTTAGCATTTATGAGTTCTATGAGCAATACAGCTATTTCTTCCACATTGGATGATCTGTACATTTCTTTTATTTTGCATAGCGTCAGCTGTTCCCTGTTTCTCACTTGTTCCCTCCCTCCCATCGCTGCCATTGAGTTGCTAGTTCATTTTGATCAATGTGTAACATTTTTTTAAAATACTTTTTTATTGTAAAAATACTGTACAGAGGGGTTACAGTTATATGAGCAAGGTAATGAGTACATTTCCTATCAAGCATTGCTGCCTTTCCTTTGTTTTTCCCCTTCCAACCCTTCCCTCCCACCTCCACAAATACACCACCCCCCACCTAAATTGTAGCTCAGGCTGGTCTTGAACTCGTGATCCTCCTGCCTCATCCTCCTCATTGATTACCGGCGTGCGCCACCACGGCCTGCACCCCCACCTAAATTGTAAAGTTCACTTTTCACCATAGTGTCTTGTACATCTCATTGTTACAATGGATCGACTGTATCTCTATTTAAGCAATTTGTTTTTTTCCTTCCTCTCCTCAAATTAGAGAAGTATATATACAAGATGCAGGGCACCAACATCAAATACAGTGAAAACAGAGGTTATACCGTGGGGGAGGAACATACAAAGTACCCCCTCCCCCCCCCCAAAAAAAATCACATGGTATATTACAAATAGGTTAGAAACAACAGCAAGAAAGTAAAAACCACTTGTGTCCCTATCTTGGGGTTCATTTTGCTTAACATCGTCTTATCTGGTCATATGTACAGAGCTTTTAACCTTTTTTGCTTGTGTGACTTTTTTTTTTTTTTTGCCGGTCATGGGGCCTGAACTCTGGGTCTGGGTGCTGTCCCTCAGCTCTTCAGCTCAAGGCTGGCGCTCTACCACTGGAGCCACAGCGCCACTTCCGGCTTTTTCTGTATATGTGGTGCTGAGGAATCGAACCCAGGGCCTCATGCTTGCAAGGCATGCATTCCACCGCTGAGCTACCTTCCCAGCCCCTGTGTGACATTGTTTTAACACATTTAAATGTCATCACTCAGCACTAATACTGGTTTAGGCAACAGGACTAAAGTATGAGTTGAGTGGTGAATTACTGGTAAGGGAGGCATAGATGGTATTTAAGAGTCAGAATTGTTAGGATTTACATGTCTCTGAGTTGAGGTTCATGGATATTATGAATGCCCATAAGAGATAAAGCCCTTTTAAAATGAAAACTTAGCTTTATTTGAGACAAGATTTCTATGCTGTTTAGGTTGGCCTTGAACTCTCCTCTTGCTCAGCCTCTTAAGTCCTGGTTACGGGTATGTGTTTACCAAGTCTGGCCTAAAACTTTGGGATTTAAAACCAGAATTTGTGAATTCATTGTACACGTACATTGGTACGTGAATGGGTAAAAATACAATATAGTTGTCTCTTGTTATGTAAATGGAAAACAATTCCAAAATGGGATAATTCATTTGTATAGTCTGGGTGATAAACTTCTCTGGCAGACGGGGACTGGACTCTACCTGACGTGTTTTGCTCTTTGGCTAGCACTCTACAAACTGAGCTGTGCCTCCAGCCCCAGGCTTTTATACTGATGCTGGCTCTGTATAGGTGGTGGTCTCCAGGGGCTCTGAACTTTGGAGAGCATACCTTGAACAGGCCCACTCCACTCCACTCCATTCTATCAACCCCGTGGCCCTCCTCACACGTAACTGCGTGTATTAATTTTGCATGAATCCTTCCAGTGTTTCTTTATGCAGATAGAGCAAATAGGAATATAATAGTTAGCTTTTTAAAATTTAAGGACTTACTTAAAATTCCAATGAAATGTGTAATGTAGCCTTAGAATGTAGCCCTGAAATGTCTAATATAAATAATAGAAGGGGACATTAAAACTGCATGTTTGGTCAGTGATAAAAGATAATGATTACAAGTGAAATGAATGATTCAACATTTCAATCATAAGGTTAATCAAGATGATGGTAATTGTTCGAAGTCTGCTTGGTGTGTGTAAGGTTACTGGCTTAGGTGACATGCTGTTCTCAGCTGCCATCTGAATGACTTATTTAAAGTGACTGTAGAATACCTCTCACATTGCTGTGAGAGTGTTGGCAGTGAGATTTAAAATGTGTTTCTGTGAGCCCAGGGTTGTAGCCTCAGTGCTGTTGGATCGTCAGGGCTACTGGAGCCTGATTATACCTGCTGTTGAGTGTGTCAGTGGCTTGTAGTGGACCTGCATGATCAAAGCAGAGGTAGTATGCTGAAGTTTGTAAGTTAAGTAATTAAAAGGCCCTTGCTGGACTGCAGTGAGCAGAGGAGTGAGTGAGAAGCTGTCCTTAAGAATTATTCAATTCATTTTGAAACAGCTTTCTTTTGTATTGAAGGCTTCTGAAAAATTTGTAGAGTCTGGCTAATATTTCATCCTTTTTTCTCTCATCTCCTTGCTTCTTTTTCTTTCTCCCTCCTCTGTTCTTCCTTCTTCCTTTCTCCAACCTCTTTCCCTCTCCTTCTTTATCTTTTTTTCAACTTCTCCATTCTCCCTTCTTCTTCCTCTTCCTTTCTCCTTTCTTCCTCCGTTTCTCTCTCCTTTTCTTTCTTCCTCCTTTCTTCTCCCTCCTCACCTTTCTTTCTTTTTTTTTTTTTGCCGATCATGGGGCTTGAACTCTGGGCCTGGGCTCTGTCCCTCAGCTCTTCAGCTCAAGGTGAGCGCTCTACCACTTGAGCTACACCGCCACTTCTGGTTTTCTAGTGGTTTATTGAAGATAGGAGTCTCACGGTCTTTCCTGCCGGGGCTAGCTTTGAACTGAGATCCTCAGATCTCAGCCTCCTGAGTAGCTAGGATTAACAGGTATGAGCCACTGGCACCCGGCTCCTCACCTTTCTTTTGCTTTTTCTTCCTTCCCTCTCTTCCTGACTTCTCACTCCTTCTCTCCATCTCCTTTTTCTTTCTTCTCCTTCTTTTTCCTCCCTGTTCTTCCTTTTCCCCATTCTTTTTCCTTACCTCCCTCCCTTCTGTTTATTTTCTATCTTTCCCTCTCCCTGTTCCTTTCCTCCCTTCCTTCTTGTGTTGCTATGTTGCCCTGGCTGGCATTGGAGTCCTGGGGTTAAGCAATCATCCTCTTCCCAGATATTCTCCTGAGTAACTGGGATTGCGGTTGTGTACCATTGTACCCAACTTCCCCTATCTGTCTTTTAATTTGATGTTTTCCTCTTTTTCTCCTGTTTTTTTTCTTTTTTGGTCCGGTCGTGGGGCCTGAACTCTGGGCCTGGGCGCTGTTCCTTAGCTCTTCAGCTAAGGCTAGCACTCTACTACTTGAGTCACAACACCACTTCCAGCTTTTTTTCCCCTTCTGCTTATGTGGTGCTGAGGAATCGAACTCAGGGCCTCATGCATGCAAGGCAAACGCTCTACCACTGAGCCACCTTCCCAGCCCTACTCCTGTTTTAATGGTGCAATAAGTTTGGCATTTTTGACTTGTGAAGTAAAGGGAATAATCCATTTTTGTGACTGAGATTTCCAGAGTCAATTAAAAAGTGATCTTAAGGATTTTAGATGGGCCATAGTTTCATTAATACCTTACTTTGCTGATAAACTTCTTTCTTACAAAGTTAGACCTGTTGTTGGTCATGTGGTTATTTCTAATTGGAATTAAACGCTGCAAGGCAAAGCTTTGACATCATGGCTGTAAAGTGCACAGATTCTTCTCTGTCCCATGTCTGCGATATATGGATGATGCCCCCTTCCTGTAATGCTGTATCTTTTTTTTTTTTTTTTTGGTCGGTCATGGGGCTTGAACTCTGGGCCTGAGCGCTGTCCCTCGCTCTTCAGTTCAAGGCACGCTCTACCACTTGAGCTATAGCCCCACTTCCGGTTTTCTGGTGGTTTACTGGAGATAAGAGTTTCACAGACTTTCCTGCCTGGGCTGTCTTTGAATCACAGTTCAGATCTCAGCCTCCTGAGTAGGTAGGATTACAGGCGTGAGCCACCGGCGCCCAGCTCCTGGCTGTATCTTGACTGCACGTATTCAGGGTCTTTAGCGATGTTATCCTAGTTGTTTCTTT